ACATACACATACACATACACATACACATACACATACACATACACATAGTCTCACTTTTGTTGGATGTCCTTATTTAAGTCAGTTTAACATACATCAGGAATAATACAAATTAATGCACAAAATGTACATTATATTTATGACAAAATTGCTTTAAATTACCATGCTATTAAGTATTTAATATCATTTAAAGACAAATTTGGGATTCAATCAACAATTTAATAGATTTTAAATGAAGTATGTATATAAACACATAATATGTACAACTAGAGTTTGATTTTTTCAGATTAACATTTTAAATAAAAGCTCAAGTACTGTATACAGCTCTTTAAATAGTAAGCTGCAAAAATGAAACTTCAAATAAACAAATTAATTTCTTGCAATTAAATACCACGTTCCTTAAAACTATACATTGCATGGAGCCTCCGCATGAAAACATTATCAATTTCTTGAAAACATTTCAAAATAGTGCTAAAGCTATTTAATTGATTTAATTACACTGCTAAAATCTGGGTTACTCTCAAATCTTTTCAATATTACCATTTCTGATTGAGAAAATACTTTCCGTAACATTTCTATTCATTTTAAAAGTAACACCAGGCATCATGAGTTATTTGAGCTAGAAGTAAAATCTATGATTGTCCTTTGATAGGATGAATGTAAATACACATTCTCCTCTTGCTATTATCTTTGATGATGGAGATCCTCGTCTCAAATAACTCTTATTTGAACTACAGTACCTCCAAATGGCAGCACAAAATATCATCTTCTCTGTTAACACTTCTGGAAGTAAAGATGGTAGTGTCACCCATTCCTGAAAGTATTGCTTTTAAAAGGGCAGTTCTTCTGGGAGTGTCATGTCTCAGCTAATAGAAGCTTTGGACATGTATAACATTTAGGAATAACCTTAGTAGACTGTAGGTTATAGGGTAATGGACTCCTGTTGCACCATGTTCACCAGTTATTCCATTTCAAATAGGGTTACTGTGCCTCAAGAACATTTGCTTCCATTGTGGTGGTTCCTTCACATAGTTTGAAGTTGATAAACTCTTGGACCTTTTTTCAAAAGATAACCCTGGTCATTTAGAGAGCCAACAAAGCTTTCAAAATCAGATACCTGGAAGAAAAATAAAGAGTGAAATATGTTTATTCAGTGTGAGAAACAATATTTATTATGTCTGATGTAAAGCAAGATATGTTGCAATTCTTTTAAACATTTTAAAATGAATCACAGAAAGGAAATTACTGTGAAGGGTTTAACTTCCGCCACAAACCTTTGGATCACTTGAAGGCTAAGTAAAAGTTGACTGTATCTTTCCTTGCTTTATTTCACCTCACTAAAAAAAATTTACAGTTTATAAACATCAGCATCGAAAATGCTCCTGTTTTTGCCACATGGAAAATTAGTGAAATATACCTAAATCAAAGTTTCATGACATTTCATCTGCTGAGGGAGTTTTCTGGAAGAAAGTGTTTCAAAGGGGGAAGATAGTGTGGGTTTTAAAACAAACAAACAAAAAAAAAAAAGGCATGAAAATATTTTGCCAAATAAACAAACACAAAAGCTCTAGGGAGAAATCCCAGCCCCTCTGAAATCAATGGCAAAACTCCCATTGACTTCAAGTGGGGTCAGGATTTCACCTTAGGTCTTTATGCTATGAAAAGAGGTGGAATTGAGGGTGTGGCAAAACATTTTACACATACAGTGAAAACAGTAAATTGTAATTTTTCTTTAGTTTCACAAAAAGGTAAAAAGAGGAAGGGTGACATGTTTGTGAGTTTTGAAAAAGGATTCTGAGCCTTTCACCCCAAGGATACTGGTTTAGAATGGAAATAGTCACCAAATGACTGATGGATGGCCCATGTAAAAGGAGTTGGTAATCACAATTGGACAGGTATCCACAACATTTAACCTGATTAGCAGCCTCAACAGAGGGGGCTTGGCGATTGACCCTACTATCTCATCCCTAGAGGAGGGCCCTCTGGCTAGAGGGGGGCTGACCTATGTGAAAAATAATATCACTGCCCACATTATAACAGTTCTATGGATAGAGAAATTCAGTTTCCAGCACTTTTCACAAGCACAGAAATCTTTTCTGAAAATATTTAAAAGGTCACTTTTCACTGGATGTTTCAGGTATTCCAGCATGAAGTGAAACGCAGAATTAGCTGACAATTATTTTCACTTAGAGAAAATCAAATGTGTATAAGGTGAGTTGAAGATCACAGGATATGTTGAACTTGCTGCCTTATGTGTTTTTGATATGCTTCCCGTCTGATTAGCAACACTTTCACATTAGGAAAGTTTGGAACAGGAATGAAAACATACAGACATCAGAAGGAAGACCAGAACAGAAACACAGGAACATCATTTTCAATATGGCAGGCACAACTTTTGGAGCATAAATTGGAGTGATCATAAGGATGATTATTAAGAAGAATTATTTGCATTATCATAGTGCCTAGGGGTCCCAGTCATGGACCTCATTGTGCTAGGCTCTATACAAACACAGACCAAAAAAATTGTCCTGGAGCCAGAGGAAGCAAAACATTCTGGGACCAACTTGTCCTTGGCAAAAAAAGTCGGAGACAAATGTTAATAATAGCAGCAAAGTTAGTGCTTGTTGATGCAAGATGTTGTAGTTAGCAAGGCTAGCGACATTAGAAAGTTTACGATGGAAATGTCTCCACGACAGAGCTCAGAACAGCAGCAATGTGTTTTGCTCATCCCTGTTTAATGGAGAGATATGGCACTTGTCTGCTGTTTCTGATTTTAATTTCTTCATTTAATTTTTCAGCTGATAATTTAATTTGAAAGACTCCTAAACTGTTTTTCAAGAGAATCTGGATTTCCCCCACTTACTTTTATTTGTAGCTCCTTTGCAATCTGCCGAAGCTGTTGAAATGCAAAGAGATTGTTGTAGGTTCTTTCTGCAATATTGTTGAGTGCAGAAACAAATCTCTTTGCCTGTGACCTATGGCTCATCCCAGAACCATGCTGTGAGCGCTCAAAGTCCAGTTTCCCAAACTCATCAGAGTAAGTTCCTAGCATGCTAAAAAAAACCACAACCAAATGAGAATCAACAGAAGGTAAAGGTAGAAATGAATGAATTGGTTGGGCAGGGTCTTGCTATCTATCTGAAATATAAGAATGAGTCATTGAAGTCTCAGGTCTCCAAAGGGGCTCACAAATTGTGCAACTCCTCCCACTAAGAATAAAGCTAGCAGTTTGGAGGCCTTCACTAGGGGTCTGTTTTAACCACCTTTGGCCTTAATCAGTTCACAGCAAGAATTCAACCTCTGAGTAAATGGGAAGACATTTAGAGGTGTATCTTTTCTAAAAGGCAAAAAGGACTGAATCTTCCCTACACTACAGTGTGATCGTATTCTTTGAGTTGTCTATAATCATAGTGGTCATGATCCACATGATAAAATTAACATTACTACATTGCTACCCTATTCAGCCAAACCCAAAGTTAGACAGTTTGGCAATAGAGTTTGTATATAAATATCAATGGTCTGAACCATACCATCCAAGCATTCTCTTAGTTGTATGAAAAATAGTATTTTTTTAAAATGAATACCACTATTTGTTCTGATTTTAACACTGTACATCACCTGTATTTCATTATTTCAATTACATCCTTAGCATCTTCTTTGGTTGATTTTTCCCTTAATTCCAGCCTTGATCGTGCCTTAAACAAAAACCATATTTAACAATTAAGCTGAACTTATGTGGTAGCCACCACATAAAAAAGGCTTAGTCTCCATCATTCAGTCACAATGGTTGTGTCAAGCTCTAAGGACATACTTGGGACCTGATCCTGTAGGACTCACAAACATAGCCACATTCTTCAATGGAATTTCTGACTAATAATTGCAGGATAAAGCCCTGTCAATAAGTAGCAGTACTCCTACCTTCAAAACTAGGTTAGTGGGTTGTGGTCTGGAAATTGCTGATTTGCTTTTTAACACTGCATTCACTGCACAACAACAAAGCACGACTAATGCTATTGGAACACAGCATTAAAATACGTGGCAATAGCAATAAGGCCTGGGAAGAGCAGACACGGGTCCCTCTCTATACTGTTAAAAAAAAAGTTCTTCTGAAAAGCCAGGTGGGTATCCTTGAATCCTGCTCCTCTCCCTATTGGCAGATACAGCAGGGGGAGAAAAGGGGAATAGGGTCTAGGGAAGGATGGGCAAGTTCCCAGCCTGGTAGATTTTTCTGTGATGGAAAGGCTGGGGAAGTCCTCCACAGCTCCTTATACAGCTCTTCAGGTTTTATGCCCCTCTGGCGACCAGCCATTTAAAGAGTCATCAAGATTTAGTCTTACGAGTTTGACAGTTATTTGGTTTAATGTTATTTTGGTCCATAAGCAAGAACCAGGATACCCATCTAGCATTCCAATTTGCCTTTACCTTTACAATGGGCTTAGACACAGTTTGGGATGGAAAAGCTGCTTTAATTTACTCACCCTGCTGGAGCTGTAACATATTGAAAGACCGTATTAAGCAATGAGACACAGATGAGTGGATTTTAGGAACAAATAAGCTGAAATGTCTGTCTTCCACTTAGCCCTTTCAGAATGGCATAAAGGG